GTGTGTGTGCACGCGCACGCACATTATGAAACAGTGGTGTATAAAACTTTAAAGTAAAATGAGCTGCTTTAATTGAGGCATTTTTGTGTTTTAATATTACTAACAGATCAATTTACATCATTTACCATTTTTTTCTACTGCACAAGCCATAACATACAAAACTGCTCCTTTGACTTCTCTATGCTTTGATGTTGTAAGCAGTTCTACTAGGAATTTTATCCCTCCTGCTTTCCTGAAAAAAACTTTACCATTTTCTGAAAATGAAGGAGAGAACAATGATATTTCATTTTTGTAAATTTATTAAAATATAAAAGCTTATTATAATTCAGATTAAGAAATGAAATTTTAAGTCATAATTTCCTGATTTCAATCATGTTAAAGAGGTTCGAGAAAAATGTCATACTTCTAAGAATGAAAACAAGAATTGTGTCAGATGTGCTACTGTGGACATGCAAAGCACCTATTAATATAATAAGCTGTCAGCAAGGACATAATGGTGGCACCAACAATGAGACTGGAAATGTTTTAATCAGGTGACATTTGTTTTATCCTAATTTTATTAGTTAAATATTTTTCAGATTTGATGTTCCACTTATCAGTTGTCAATATGCTAACTCAACTTACCATGTATGGAAAATAAAGTTGCAAGTGCAACTAATGATTTTTTCAGTGCATCTGGATTGTCAAGTTGGCATTTTACACATTCTACTAGGAGTCTGATGTCTGTTTGTGCATCTAAATATGATAATGGCATGAACTTCGTAAATTACTTACAACATTAATTTTACAATTTTTTTCTTTGATTCGAAGCCTAAAGTTGTTTGAACAACTTTGTCAAGTGATAGCAAAAAAAGCAAATAATACAAATTCTGTCAAGAAACGTGCCATGAAAATCATAAGGCATATGATACACGTACTGTATGGTAACAACCCCTGTAAACATTTATGGAAAGGTACTGATAATGATACATGTAATTACTGGAGTATGTAGATCTATGTAACGGCAAAAAAAATACCCTTTTCCATTTGATCCATTTCCGCAAACCCTGGTGTAGACATAACTCTGTGTTGAAGATGGAAACCAACTTTATCATCTCATCTTAGAAATCAACACAGGCATCACCGCACAGAACATTAGCTGTCAAACAGGGTAGATTAACATTTTGGAACAACGTCGGAACGAGTCGCCTCGTTTTGCATTAGTTTATATTTTAAGTACGGGGATCTGTCAATAATTAATTTCTTTGGCTTAAATCAAAGTCCAACCAGTGTCATTTATAAAAAGTGAATATTTTCAACACAAATAACTAATTTTGTGCTTTCGTTTTGGCGACGAAGCAGACGATACAATCAACCGTTGCATTATGGGTAGATGGTTTCATTTCCTGTTGAGGCAGTTGGCATTTCATTTGAGTCGGTATCCTGGATGGAAAAAACTGTATAGGCTACTCTACTTTAATAGATCCTATGCAGCAGTTTGGGTCTAATATGACAAACAATATTTGAATGAGGCATTGAAACTGAACATTCGGTGGCCTAGAATTTGCTAAGAGGTATTACAGTAGTTTACTAGTACACACAACAATGGGTTATCATTTCTGAAAGTCTATTAAAATATTCCGATGTGTTGGATTACAATGGGGGTGCTTTTATGTGAAAGGGGATGGATTTGCCTTATTATAACAAACACCTGTGTGTTCCAAACATTGCTGTGTATTTAAAACTTTTAAATTCTTAGCTGAAAATGACACTCAAACAGTGCTTAAATCTGGGACAGAGTCTAACACCCCATTTCCATAGATTTTTAGATCGATCTATCCTGTGGGGAGTCTCACTAAATTACTGTCAGCTTGGCCGGCTTAAGCGTCTGTCCCGCCTACTAAAAGCTGTAAGGGGGTAATTAACTATGGTGCCCTCTCGGCTGACTGCAATTTAGCGTGAACCCCCAGGGAGTTAGGTCGATCTAAAACTTAATCTTTAGATCGATCTAAATCTCTGGGAAAGCACCCTAATACCCCATTCACACTAGCACTTTTAACTGGTCAAGGCCTGACCTCGGTCCTATTGTGGTTAACTTTTCTAATGTGAATGGATGACGCAGCCCTGACCGCGGTCGAAATAAACCCAGATCGGGAGGTGGGTATAATCGGAGTAAACTCCTGACCGTGGTCAAGACCGGATGTCTACATATGAAGCGCATGCGCACAAGTGTATCGTCATTTGAGCTCCCGCCATGTTGCACAGATTCTAGTAAAAGCGCATGCTTGACAGGAAATAGGCTTGCTTAGATTCTACTGCTACTGATCGCTGTAGGTGTCAGTGTGAACGCGGTTTGGATGCGGTTTGGTTGACTGGGGTTTAATCGGAGTAAACTCCTGACCTCAGTCAAGACCGGATGTCTACATGTACATATGCAGCGCACGTGCACAAATGTATCGTCATTTGAGCTCTCGCCATGTTGCACAGATTCTAGTAAGAGCGCATGCTTGACAGGAAATAGGCTTGCTAAGATTCTACTGCTACTGATCGCTGCCGGTGTCAGTGTGAACGCGGTTTGGAAGCAGTTTGGTTGACCGGGGTTTAATCGGAGTAAACTTGACCGCGGTTAACATTCTAATGTGAATGGCCTATAACAGACGTACCAGTCTGTTTTGCAGCTGTACATTATGGAAAACAAAGCTCTCAGAATAGCACTGACCGTCTTGTTTTTGATCATCTCAGGGATCATTCACAGCACACACACTAAAGAAATACAAAAATTGTTCTTTGTGGCAAATTTTGATGGGTGACAAAAACGGGTTTTTGTGCATTACCATCGCTCCCGTTTTTAACTTCAGTACAAAGTATGTTCTCCTTAATCTGTAACAGCGGAGTAACTTCATCGGATATCTAACATGATAACTGTTAAATGAATCTGAGTGGGGCGTAAGTCATCCATGATTGTAAATAAACTTGGGCTTCTTTATATTTATAGATATGTCTTTTAAGATAGTATATTACCACTTCAAGTGATAAGCATTACTACTTCATGATAAAAGAATTCATTGGTTAAAAATAGACCATGACTTTGCGATATTTCATGGGACTTTTGCATCAGAACATAAAATGCAATTGAACCAACGTGATTCATGCAGTTATGTGAATGAACTGCATGCACTCTTATATTTGTAGATTGTCCTTTTTTTTTAATTTCTGACTCTTCACAGTTTTGAGTTTGTTGTTGAAATAAATGGATGTCGCACGAGTTTTCAATGCTTACCATGTCAGTTATTTTTTTCACCTGTATACTGTTTGGTACGCGGGCTGCACAACGCATTTGCTGTTCTCTCCTGTGCCATTTTGTTGTTCACACTTGTATAATTCGGCTCATATACTCAAATACATATGGCTTTGGAAAAGCAGACCTTTGGAACAAATGTTCCTCGAAACAAAAAGCCTTGGAACAAAAGTCCCTTGAAACAAAAACCATTAGAACAAAAGACCATGGAAATATAGATATACACCCCAATTACTGATGCATTGGTGATCAGTAGTGTTCGGTCTCATAATAACAAGATGTGACTGAATGCATTATGCTTTTCATTTATGTTTATTATCAATAGTCTACACAGATATATTTTACTCAGAAAATATCTAATAATATAGGAAATGTTTAATTTTGAAATTTTTATGCATAATAAAACATGACAATTAAATATTCATTAGTATTTTTATTTAGGCCTTTGATGAAATAATATTCTTTATACATAGCATTCTTCATGTAAAAATTTACCACAAACTTTTTCTATCAGAGGTACTGAGTGACTTAATCTTTTATAAGCTTTCTTGCTTTGTTATATACCGTACTATTATGGCTAGCAACCATAACTTGTTGCCATGTTTAATTACATTAAAGACACTATAAAATGATGGATTATGCATGTCCAAAGGCAATTGTGATGGGAATTTATTTGTTGCAAATAATAGCCTCGAAACTAACAATATCGCTATTAGCACTCGGTTGCAAATTGCGATGCTTTCAAGTTATGGGGCCCAGATTGGCTGAACTTGGAAGCAGAGGACGAGTTGCGCTGTTTATGCATTATCTATAGTCTGTTGTGTGCCACAGCAGTCCTAAAATTCAATGGGTTGAAGTTTTGCTAGTTTGAAGTATATAAATATCTCCTTGATTGGTCTATGTTTGTTATGCTGAATTTAAGTGGAATTTGTTATCAAAAAATTATGTTATGTCGGTATTATGGAATACTGGTTAAAGATAAGAATACATTTTGAATAAATGTGCCCCTGGACGATTGTATTAAGAATCCAATTTTATAATATCAAATTAAAGTATTATTATTGACCACTAGTCTAAAATATGTTCAAAGATTACTTGTAATGTAAGCAAAGGCACTCATTAAGTGCAAGATATGTACTAGTAAAGCTACTATAAGAGATGGCATAGACTATATCGTTTTTGGTACAATACTAAAATTGATGTTATAAATAATCATTTGGGAACAGGGTGTAACCATTTTGAATGAAATTGATTGGACACAGAAAGAAAGGTATTGAAATACATTTAAATTCGATATTTTAACATTATATAATTTATTAAAATGGACAACAACTGTTCCTTTTGGCCATTCCACCATTCAAAGAAAATCCATGTTTTTTTTCCTAAAAAGTTCATTTTTTTTTTATTTCTTAAGAGATTATTATGCAGATATAGCCATTTAGTAATGTCTACGTGGTCTGATGGCAAGCACAGATTCCAGAATAATTGTGATAAGCATTTTTTGGCAGTCAATTTTTTCATATTTCTGTGAGTTGTTTACATTTTATTTTTTTGTGAAATGTGATACTCATAGGAACAGTTGTTATCTCTTTAATCTATGTGATTTGGACACATATTAGTCATTGGTAGAAATTATTTCTGCTGATGTGGACTGAGGAAAGGTGGACATGCATAGCATGTATTTTGGTATATTACATGACAGATTAAATGTAAAAGCAGTATACAAAATTCAGAAATTATTTATTCTCTATTTTTGCAATAGTTTATCCATGTTGCCACATCTTCAACTCTTTCTTTGAATCTACTTAAGAAAATGTAGTTGTCCTTTACAGTTAAAGTTGATGACAATTTCTTGAATAATGGTTCATGGTTTATGGCATATTGTAACAGAGTTTGTTCAGGATTTGGATTTTTGAGCAAATCAAATATATTTTCAACAATTCTCCTCCTAAAAATGCAGAGTAATTTTAATGTCTGTTCATGGAATTGCTGGAATCTTTGGTCTGTTTTGGCTCCCCTGTACATTAAATCATAAGCATCAAAGAGACCACTTTCATTATCTATCAGCCAGAATTTGTTTGTCTTTGGAATTCTTCTTAAATTCCTAATGTTTTCATGCATTATACTGGGCTTGCTTTCCTTATCTGCTCCATCCTGCATACTTGCAACTCTGCAAATACAAATAAAATACTTTATTGCATCATATATGAGAAGTCTGGTCAGTTTACACATGCAATTGTATATATATATTAGTAGGTGCCTGGAAACTTTTTCTCAAACATTATAGATGAACCTTTTATTGGCAGAATTCACTTTTTTTAACATGACTCATTAAAATAACCAAAATGTCACCTCAAAAACTGTTCTATTACTCAGTATGTCTCATGTTCTTCTGTCCAATCTATTGTTCTATAAGTACTCATACATGTAGGTAAATTTAATGTCAGGGTTGACATGAAATGTAACTGTGAGCAATAATGAAATGTGAGCATTTGACAAAGGAACATATGAGACTTTATTATGAGTTTTCAAACTGATGAACCTTTCAGCGCAAATTGTGTTACTTGAAAAGAGTTAATGTATTTTTTCTTATTACAAGTCATTTTTAAATTTATATACCTGTAATAGTTCCCTGTGATATAATCAAATATTGTCATTGACATTTGAGTTTTCAAACTGATGAACCTTTCGATGCAAATTGTTTTACTTGAAAAGACTTAATGTCTTTTTTCTTAATACAAGTTATTTTAAATTTATATACCTGTCATAGTTCCCTGTGATATAATCAAATATTATCATTTCTCCCCACTGCAGGAGGTGTATTAGACCACTGGTAGAAAGAGTCTGCAGAAAAGGACTGTTTCTATCTACCACTCTATGGCTAGTAAAGGCATTGAGCAGACAATATGGCATCTTAACACGGGATCTGAAATGGCAAAGTGGCAGGTTTCATGAATTGGTACGAAACTTGATGTGCACCATTTTTTAAAATGATCTACAAGAGAAGGCACATGCAAAAAGTTTTCGTTCATTAAGATTTTGTGAACTCATGTTAAAACTTTCTATTCTTTTCTTTGTGCATTGTTAATTGTGTGGCTAGTTCAAGGAATTAAATGTAAATTTTTAAAAGAATATATGTAGTGTTAAGACATGACAATTTAAACTTAGTTCTGCTGGGGCCCTAAGATAAATCCCCTGCAGATTTATTTTGGTCACACGATGAATGTCAGAGATGTTTTTTTAACATAGCGTCATGTCTGGATATTGTAGAAGTTGCTAACAAAGGGGTCTTTTTTGTCAAGGACACCACATCTCTGCTACCTTTCTCCATTCAGGTTATCAATCCATTGGATAAAAGCTACTATCTTCCCTTCCTTCCAGTGGGCCTGCTGTATCTGTTTACGTTGCTGCTGCCACTGAGAGACTGTACTGTCCACTTCTGACAAAACAACTATTGGCACATTATCCAGACCAAGAAGGCCTGCAAGGTAATATGACAGCACCTCTCCTGAAATAGTTTTTAAACAATTACTTATGTATTTTAAATCTGGTAATATTTCTTCAATTCACAAATCACTTCTGCACATTTATGATTATGAAAACTAGATAAAGACACTTTGAACCAATTTATTAAAAATTGGGGGTTAATTTTATGTAAAACACCCTCGCCCCCATAAAATCCTTTTACAGAATCCCTTCTTTGATTATGAACATGAATTTCATTTACTGAAAACGATTTGATAAATATGACAGGACTGTTCTATGAAAAAAGTTTTGGAATAATAGTTATATTCCTATTGATATTTATGTGGAATTTGCACATTTGGCGTGCATAACATTGAGCCACAACCTTGTTTTTTACTACCCCAGAAAGTTATTTCTAGTATTATTTACATTGTTTTTTAAAATATGTTTTGAAATAAAACTTTGCCAAACAAACTCAAAATCACTCAAAAATACTTCATATATAAAAATCTCAAATTATGTCAATTCAGGAAGCATTGAAAGGAAAACAGGAATTTCAATATCTGAAACCCATTTTGCCCAAATCCCCATATAATTGCACTGTAATAAAAGTTTTTGGGATGATACCTCTCAAAAATGAGCTAAATTACATTCTGAATCTCTTTTCATATTTTATTACATATATGTGAGAGCCTCTTTAAATGACATAATTAGGAGTAAAGAAAATAATAACCTGTTCCTACCTAAGACCAGCTTGTTGTGGGGATCCCTGTACCTGGCACATGCTGACATCCCATTGCTAAAAACTACATGTTGGTTGGGAAGTCGACCACATTTATTCCAACTTGGAGTGGAGACTTGTAAAACTTCTGATTTTCTTACATCAAGATATTTCATTATATCTGTTTTGGTATTACCTTGAAATAAAAATGTTGAAATTTTATTCTAAATAAAATTTCCTGTTGATTTGATTGCACAATAATTGGAGCAAAAGAAGGAAGGAGATAAAACATTTAGATATAAGTCTCATCTAACACATTTGAGTTTTCCTTTGTAGGAAAAAGTTGTTCCAGCCAGTTTCCTTAAGCTAAGGGTTAGGTAAATACTTTGTGACAGATTTCATTTGAAGGTGTTAGGCTTGAATTGAAGGCAGTGTGCATGAATGTGGCCTACAGGTCTTTGCAAACAAACCAACTTATAACAAATGTAACTGACATTGACGTCCTATCCTCTCAGCATACTGCATGAAGTGCGGGGACAGGCATTTTCCATAATACAAATAATTGCTATATTCTGGCAAAAAAGATCAGTGTTTTCAGGAATGTGTCTCATTAAGATGACTTCTTTGATTACTGGAACTGACCTGGAAATGAGTTCTTAACATTTGACACTCAGGCATTCATTTTACTGATGAAAAAACAACTTGAAGAATACAAGGGCCTAATTAAACATTATTTACAGCTGGAATGCACAGAAGTTATGTTTGACCTTTTCTTACATTTCCCTTTTCACACAACTTTTTTCTTGTCGATAGAAAAAAAAGAAAATGGTCTGAAATGGAAGATAATTAGTTTTCCTGTGTAGATTGATAATCAGACCCATATGTGCCCTCACTGAAATTGTTGTACATGTGACATTTATTATTCACAATAAGGTACCTAAGAATATTTCATTCGCTACTTGTGACATGGGAACTGTAATCTCATGCTATTTTGTGCTTAATAGAAGTCAACTTTCATATGCTGCTTTCAGACAGGTAAAGGAAACCAAGAAATGGCCAATTTCTTTGCCCAGAGATAGAACTATTAGTCTTAAAATGAAACAAGTTTTATGATAATTATGATTGATTAGCATAAATTGAGTTAAATGTGCCCTATTTAAAATATTTGTAATACAATAAGAAAAATGAATTTTGAAGTCAAGGTAACAGATTTCTTAGACCCCATTTCCAGAGATTAGATCGATCTACTTTAGATCGACCTAACTCCCTGGGGGTTCACGCTAAATAGCTGTCAGCCGGGCGGACACGAAAGTTAATTACCCCTTTACAGCTTGTAGTAGGCCGGACGGACATTTAAGCCGGATTATCTGACAGTAATCTAGTGAGACTCCCCGCGGGGATAGATCGATCTAAAAGCTCTGGGAATACAGCCTAAGAATAAACAAAAATTAAAATTCATCAAAAAATAGCGTTTGGATGTAGTAATTTGAATAAACAAAAACATGAAGTTGAAATTAGACAAAAAGGCAAACCTTCTAAACCCTTATAAAAAGCTGGAAGTGTAGAATTTAATACCAATAGAAAAAGAGTTAGGGACCATTCCCACAGATATTTGGATCGATCTATCTCCCTGGGGAGTCTCACTAAATTGCTATCAAACTAACTGGCTAATATCTGTCACGCCTAGTAAAACTGTTAGGGGGTAATTATCTTTACCCCTAACTGATTCGGTAGGGGTGACAGACATTTAAGCCTCTTGAGCTGATAGCAATTTAGCGAGAACCCCTAGGGAGTTAAGTCAATCCAGATGGATCGATCTAAGTATGGGAATCCAGTCTTAAAGTAATTTGTAGCAGTTATTTAAAACTTACAGGATATTCTGATATCTAGCTGAAAATATGTAACATGGCCAGCTGTTATGGTGTTTGAAAAATGGAAATGCCTGTTACCAATTATCAACCATACTTAACTACACCTGTACATGTATCAAACAGACTTTTAATTAGTAGCAGATGCCATTTTAAAAGATTGACTTCTCAATAATCTTTAAATTATAGCATCTGTGTGATTGCTTTTTATAAAGTTTGTGCAGTTTTCAATTGTCAGAACAGTTGCCCTGTGGCAAGAGACAAAAATAACCACTGAAATACCAGTACATAATATTGTTTTTCACAGAAATTCCCATATGATTGATAACAGAAGAGACTGAGCAAATTTTGTCTTAAGTTTTCAAGTGGTTTTGCCAAGTGACAATTGAGGAAAAGGTAAGGAATTTTGAGAATTACCTTTTGGCACCATGCTCTCCACTGTAGTTGACCAATAAATTCTGTCCTCTACAATTTGAAAATCACTTTGGTTTTTTGCAGTATCTATCTTTTGTTTTAATTCTTTTTGTATCACAGATCCGTTTGCTGGTGATGAATCCCAAGCACCAGGCTTATCATTTTGCAGAGATTGCACATTCCCATGCCTTTCATTGAGCAGCTGATGTTTTCCTCCTTTTGGCAGGTGCTGAGAGACTTGGGGTGGTTTTGTTGATATCATCAAGGAATTATACTTGGATAGGGGTGATGACATTTTGCTTTGGCTTTTTCCTGATTTACCCCAAGCAATTGAAGGCCCATTTCTATTCTCAAAATGCTGTTTACCATTTAAAAGTTCCATGTGCCTTTGATCTGTCTTGCCCATGCCAAGAAAGGGAAAAGCTTCCTCTTCATGATTTTTTATGGAATTTTTAGTTGGAAGAAGAGGATATGAGGGTGTTTTTCCTATTTTTATGTTTTGATGTGCATGGGTATTTGGATTTTCTAATAATTTTTCATTATATTCATCATCAAAATCTTCTTCTTCATAATCACCATCATCATCATCTTCATCTTCATCACTTTCATCATTTTCTTTATTTCTTGATTGTTTCACATCCACAGAAAACTTTTCAATGTCATCGTAATCACTATATGTCTCATGGTCGTTTTGTTGCTGTTCACTGTTGTGCATTGATGGTAAAGTCAAATTGGTTTCCCTTCTTGTGTGTGTAATTACAGAGTTTCCAGCATTTCTGAATACCTTTCCCTCTAAGCCATTATCATGTTCCACTCTTAAGTCATCATTACTCTCCCAGCCCTTTACATTATCACCACCAAAGTGAGCCTGGGGCCTGCGATCTATCTTCACCAGTGCATTGTGTTTCCACAGTGCATGAAGGTTACCACCATCCAGCTGCTGCTTGGGGTCTTCACCTTTATCTCCAAATCGCAGTTCATAATCACTGAAAATGTCTCCAGTGTTGTCCTGTTGTTGAAAATTCAGCAGCATACAGGTGACCATGAATCCCAGTGCCACTAGTGAAATGGCAGTTCTGTATCCTCTCCATAGTCTGACAGGACTCGCAAGCCTCATTTTTAGACAATGTCATTTTAATTTCCCTGTCTGTGCTATGAATTTTAAGGAAAGTTCCATTTTAAGTGTAGTACCAGTCTAGTATCAGGCCATCACTGAAATTAAAAGAAAAAATAATTAATTTCCCTGCTTGCATCTATAAATACTGCTGTGAAATGCATTTCTTTTTCTGCAGCAGGTGTTATCCCGTAAAAGCTTTCCAGCATCTCATCCAGACCTACTCCATCACTGTAATGAGAAATTGCAAACTATGAGTGGTTAATGTGATAAGTGATATCCCTGGAGATAACTGTGTTTTTTGTTATCAGTGGGGATCTTAACTATTGGATGGGGTCTCCAACAATAGGCAGGTGCCATGAGGGACTTGATGAGTCGACATTTAATCCATCCACAGGTTTTATGTGCAAACAGCCAAACTGTGCTTTGGCACAATTGAACAACACTTAAAATAAAATCTCAGGCCTGAGATATATAATATAAAAACAGCCAGACAAGAAGTGAAGTGGATCACCAAAAATATTTTACCTTCCTTGATCTTCCTTCTCATTCAGTAGAAAAATGTTTACATGTGTCATCCTTCCTTTCCTCGTTTATCATACTTTTCTTCTCCTGAGGCCCACTATAAATTAGCCAGCATGCATCAGCCAGTTAGTATACTGTAAGTTAGCTTGGCCCCATGAACTGAGACTATAGCTCTCTTTGAACCAACATTTATCATCATACAAGTTCACACAGACTTCTCAAACTACTCACCAGCTGCATGAAGATCAGAGAGAGAGAGAGAGAGTAAAAACATTCTGCTTGACAAAATGCTCGCCTGCTCCCTGATTTAGTGCCAATCAGGGGAGTACCTTGACTTGTTATTTGCTGGTTGGAGTCCAAATAAGACCAGGGATACAACACATGTCACCTCTTACTGATATCCAGTGTTCCTTCTTGGTTCTGTATATGCTGTGACAAACTAATGACATTTTCTCATAGTGTATTGTATTGTCTACTTATACACTTTATCAATCAGCCTTATGGCAGCCCTGTTCATAAAGGTGCTATGCATTCATGATAATGGACCAAGAAAGGTTTTAAACTGGTTTACCCTTTGGTAACCTCAATTCATTTGTATTAAATTACCTGGGGAGCTGTTTTCTGTGATTGAACATTCTAATGAGGTTTCATTATGTACCACCAATTGTCAAGTACCCTTTCTTTGCTGGCCTCTCCAATTTTCTTCTCTTATTTCACAAGCTCCAGTGAGTTTTGTACAAAAGAGTGGAAATGGGCATTTATACATGAAATGATTTTACATACAAAATAAAACTTTGGGTGTCGAGAAATATGTTGACTGAACACGGAAATGTATTTTGTAAAAAAGCTGGGTTGATTGTTAGCATATTTTTAAAAGCTTGAATAAATACAACAAAATATATGCAGCAATTTATGGTTGATGATAAAACTCGTTAAGTTTTTCACATACATGTATAAGTACCTGACAAACTTCAGACAAGTTCCTAATTAGGCTTTAGTCACCTAGGTTGGTTGTTTTAAATGATTTATTAACAGCATTGGATCTTATTTGTCTCCTTGGTGTGAGTGTGATCTATGCAATAAATTGGATGATGTACATGCAGCTCAAGATGAATTAAAATTTACTCCCAGAGCATAACTTAATTATCTTGTTCTCTTGGGAAAAACAAAGCCTTGCATGCAATAGTTTTTTGATGTTACATATTACACAAAGTTACACATACATGTACATTCTAACCAGCATTTCTGTATGTGGTTTAAGAATAATTTAATAGCTCTAAGAATATTGCTCTATATACTTATACACGTAACATCAATCCAAAGGATATAAGGTTTTGATTATAAACCAATAATAAATGAGTTGCTAGTACTCCAGATCCTTGAAATACTAGTCATCCTGGCTGTTCATCATCATCAAGTATTTGACAGTTTAATCAGTCAGTGCAATTACTATATTCTTCAAAAGATTTAGTTAAAAAGTTCTCATTTATCATAGATCCATGTACTTGTATTACATTTACCTGTTAACTATTTTGTCTGTTCACTCTGCCCACTTTTTAACTATCAAAAACTGAGATCCAATGAAAATATTTTCACATTCAAAAGATTTGCCCCAGCACATTGCATGGTATTAGTAGTTTCTCAAATATTTAATTATTCATCTCATAATTTATATATTTTATGTCTGACCCATTAATTTATTCCTGGGTGTCCACAGTTTTGTGGAGCAGATATGCATATACTAAAGAAAAATGCGCTCTGAAAGTTAGTGAAACATTTCGTTTTTTTTAATAGAAATAATGAAGTGCAGGGGTAATTTGTTATTTCTGACATGCACATGTTTATTTATATGGTTTATATGAAAGGTTTTTAAAAAATGTAATAAAAAACATTGCATTATGTTATTTGTGAACAAATTAACAGTCGCAATTTGGGGTATCATGAATACCCAAATTTATATTCTGTGAGTATTTTGGATACACATTGTCCTTAGACTATATGAGTTAGGAAAGGAACAAATCTATTACAACATGTGGCCTTAGTGTGAGAGTAGGCCACATTGTGCATCATGATGTGCTTCTAATGACAACAGGCTATAAATAATGCAGCTTTTTCTCCTTTGTGTGCAGCAACAAGAAAGAAAAAAGTTAATAGACAAGCTGTGAAGAAAGTGTGACTAATCTCATTCCCACCTGGGGATTTATTTCCTGCTTGAATTCTCAAAACAATTTCTGACTGTTAAACCAGCAAGTTTAATCAGCTGGATTGCAGGATGGTATTTTGGGACAGACTGTTTATGTTTAAGCCATAATCTTACAAACTATATATTCTCATGCCTGCAATAGGAATAGTTCCTTGTTCTGTTGCAATAACTATCATTTATTTTCATTTATTTTATGAAAAGCAAGGATGCCAACAAGACTTTTAGTTAAAATATTTTTTGTGAAAAGAATTAGGGGAAGGGTTAATTTACATACTGTAGGGTATACATCTACATGTGCGAGAACCTTCCAGGACTTAAAAAGAGTTTTTTTTCTGAACAACGAAAATGCACATTTTTACTACCAAACATGAGAAATGGTATAGATCCTAGATCACATTTTGGTTTAGAACTACCCTCTTCTGGCCAAATGGATGCATGGTTCTTGGGTCCCTGACCTGGCTCTCCCCTATATAGACATTGGATGTGAGACTCAGACACTATCAAAAAGTTAAATTGCAGTTTAAGGAATATTGTTTTACAGGTGTTTCCAATTTAAGGAAACTACACTCTGAGGTGGCAGATATTAAATCAAAACAACAGTTCCTGTGGCTAAGAAATGTCAAGTATCTCTGTGTAGACACATACAGTAGAATTGCTGTGTACATATGGTACTTGGAAAATATCATACACGTATTTGCCTAAATTACAAACTCCTTGAACTTTATCTTACACATTGGATAGTGGAACTAGCTTTTAGCTTTGCAAAGACAAATTTGTTAAATGTATATATAATTTTTGAAAATATATATTTATTTACTGCTAGGTGGATCCTTGTTGATTGGCGTAATTAATCATTATTTTGTTTACAATATTTTTATATATACATTATCCTGTAGTAACACATTATACATGCACCTACCTTATCTGTCTTGGAAGATAATTTAGAAATCAAAATCTTTTTAAGCTTGGAAAATCAGATCTATTTGGCTATGAAATTGACATTTTTCAGTTTTTAATTATGTAGAGACCTGCTCCTTCTTACTAATGACTGCATTGTAAGACGGGTGCTTAGAGCAGTATTGTCTTTGTGGATTAGCTCTCTGTATGTTCTTACCTTACATTCCCTCAATAAAACAGAGGGGACAGCAGTACAAGTATATATATGCAAGCCTTAATTGCTCCTACATGTAGTTCAGTACTTAGAGAGGCTGTTACAATGAATGTATATACACACTCTATGTACCTCACAGTTTAGTTCCAGGACCAGCTTAAGTGAAGATAGTTTCTCGCTGATAACCATCACTGAAAAACCCCAGTGGTTGGATGATAGAACAACAGTCTTCTGGGTCCTTCAAACTTCTAAGAACCTCGTTAGTGTTCTAAGGTAAAATGATTTGATCAGTTAGTAGCCAACCCTGACTGCTTTCAATACCTTGTTAGTCGTCTGATAAATGAGCCTCAGTCATAACTTGGCATATGGGAACTTAGCGAAAAATATTTCAATAGTTGAAGAAGGAATAATCTGAGGGCAGCTGCAATGTTATTCTGTTGTGTTTAATCTGACAGATAAAAGCATACATTATTTAAGTGCTCTTACTGCTGAACTTTTGGTCAAATCAGTATCAACAAAGTGGGTTATACACCTGCTTCAAACAGTGTTAAGGAGACATTTATCAGAACTAAATACACAGAAGAACAACTATGTGATCTCAAGATATTGCCAATTCTGTCACTTAGTGTGTGAACAGGGCTTGAATAGCAGAGATTGTGGAATTGTAAATTAAAACTGGCGTCAGAGGATTAGAGTAGGTTTCCTATCAACATCCAAATTTATCAAGATTTCAGCCTAACCAGGCTCAATTTAATTGGCCTCCAGTGAGAGAAATATTTTTTCTTCTCTGCAGTTTTACACAAAAAGTTTTTATTATCTTGATGAAAATTCATAACATCTTCAATGTTGAGTATTTATAGAATTTATGCCCCTCCTGTTTGCAGATAGGTAACTCACCTTTGCTAGTTGTTTAGGGTCCAGGTACCCAGGTGTGTTGTTCAGCTGCCCTTATGGACTCTGCATTCCTTCATTAGTTTTTGTTGATCAATTTAGTGTTATTCATGTGCAGTTCTTTGCCTCTCTCTCTCTCTCAACAATGTCCACTTCTTGAACTAGTGCTCTCTCCAACACTTCTGTCTTTGTTCACTGCTAACAGCTTGCTATCTTGATCAAGGTAATTTGATATAGCAGCTTTCACAACCTCAATCCTTATGTATATTGAAATTCAGGATTTCTAGTAGATCACTGTTTGAAAAAATGATTAATGTGCCCTATCTTTTGTATAAAGAGAATGCTCCCTATTTTTTGTACACAAATATGGAGTGGCAGTTGTTTGGTTTTCAATTAATGTTATAATTGGTTTTAGTGGCTGACAAAAACTTTCTAGACATTTTGTGGAGTGTGGTTTTCATGATGTCTTGTCCAAACTATTTTGCAGCTGCCAAATCAGTTGGGGTTATCCTTCTTTCTTTTCTTTCTTTTTACATGCTTCTTGATACAAAAAAGTGATTTCATTATAGCAATTTTATGGTATTATCAGTTCAGTTCTTTTTAATATTTTATAATATGAAACCTTATTCATAGGTAAATGAGATGCACCTTTTGGTTTTTATATGCCATTTTACTGTTATTGTTTATATAAGTATGCCCTGCTTTTGCTGAAATAATACATTTAAAAGACTGTTCAGTGACCTTTGAAAAGTTTTTTTTTTATGTAATAAATATGTAAAATAAAATCCATTTGAAAGTACTCTGTAATTATACATAAAAGTAATCATGTCATGCTAAACTAATGTAAATACACTAAGTCACATCTGGCCCATTTGAATTAATATTACCAAAAGTGATAGGTTATGGCTATTGTATGAGTGAAATGAAGAACATAGACATGTAGTCACTGTAAGTGCATTTTCTTCTTCTGAAATATGTAGAACATTTAGCAGTGCATGTGGTTCATTCTGTTGTTTGAATTTATAAAACACAAGTGTGGTACTTTCAAGTGTGATATTGCCTTTTGCTACATATCTTTTCAAATAATTGTGTTAGTTGTATTCAGATGTCGGACTGTGTCTGGATGTGATACATTTTGACTTAATATTTTTGACATGAATAATAGCTTATAGGATTTCCTACTAGCACAAAGAATTAAATTATCATCTCCTAAAGGTACATAACGAACTGTTTCACCTGTACTGATGAGCACTCTCAAAGCAGTGATAAAAAACCCCAAAGTGTAAGGTAAAAAAATTCTAATATGTGTCTAGTTAATTAATCATAGACTTCAATAAATGAGCCACTAGGGGGCTTCTCTTCTGAACTTGCCAGGTTTCTATCTTTTATTTCTAAAACGATGTTTTATTGCACCAGATTACCTCTGAAATTTCATGATTACCCATGAAAAAGAATACTATCTTTATAAAATGTCATATTTGTTTCTTTTCTTGATATCTACATTTCATTGACAGTGTATAATGAGTCAAATTTAGATGGCTACTAATTGCATCAAATGTTAAAAATAGATCAGTACAAGTTTCAACGGCTGATGCCAGCAGAGCCTAGTGAGCACGCAAAGCGATGGGACAAGGCTTCTCCCAGTGATCTGTCCAGCTGTCATTTGGATAGCCTCCAGCATCACTGGACAGCCTATATTTTCCAAGAAGGCCAAATGGCTTACAATTTTTTTGAAAATACACTACCCAGGCCTGGCTGCCTTTGAAAGCAAACTGACATTGAAGGTTACGAAAAAGAGTCTTAACCATTCCTAGCACAGTATATTTATAAGAAAAGATTCAGGCTTTAGGTGTCCACTCTGTACCAGGGACTGCCACTCCTGTATTAGACCTTTCAGCCATACTTGGCACTGCAATATCAGGACAAATGACCCAACACATAGTGCAAATCTTTGGAGACTGACTGTCCCATTGATGATGAGGAGGATGATAACTGAAAGTAAGGCAGAGACAAAAGAAATACTTAGCTTATAATATTTTTAAAACAGTATTTATTGTATCACAGACAGACAGATTCACTGATTCTCTTTACCACCTTGCTAGAAAAGGTATCCCCTGTATCTGTTTCTGTTCCTTAGAGTTGCATTTTCTGGTAGGATTCACTGGCTGACACATCCTTTTCCATTTTAATTGGAAAACAAATGTCAGCTGTGATTGGAGCAGAGAAATGATACTATGCAGACAAACTAGTTCTGTTCAAATAGGCATGATATTATACATCGCATCCTGGTGTGGTGTAACTCTGGCTTGAAGAGCTGCACCAAAAAAGAAAACTTCTTTTCTCTTTTAGGTTATATGCAACTCTTTTATGGCATTCTGTACAAATGGGGTCCCTGAGAAACCCTTCTATCATCAAAGAGTTGTATAGTGTGATCTCCTTACAATATACACTATAGATGGCAGCTAGTGATTGTAATCTGTGTTCACTTCCAAGCAGATGCCATATATTGATTCTTATTTAATGAAAATGGGTAAGTAAAAATATATCTTTTTAAATTTTGATGAATGCACCATAAGTGATGGATGTTATTTGGCAGTGTGTTGGGGGAGGAGGGTGGTGGATAAACAAACATTTTTGGTTTCCATTGTTGATTATCTTTGATTTATATATTTCATTTTATTATTTGGTTACAAGTGTGCTGATTATTTATTCTACAGTGTTTGTAGAGACCATCTCAGAACATCACATTTTTGGAAGCAAAACTCTTTTATAAAGGAAACCTGATAGTAACCTATAAATATTTTGTTAGAGATTTTCTTTGCTTGAAAAGTAACATTTTAATTAAAAGTTTGTCCGAAAGGTAATCCATTTGATCAAGCTATGTCACAAGTTCATTTATGTGCCTGTTTCATTAGATATGACTAGTTTAGTGATTGTTCATCACTTAATTAGTGAAAAGGTAGTTAACCAGGCAAGTTGCGTGGTGTTAGGTAAATAATGAAATGCTCAATATAACAATTACTTGAGTTGAAATCCACGACCAAAAAATTAAAGAATTAAAAAATTAAAGAAATACAAAGGTGCTGGTGTTAACAAGTAAAATACCAGTAAATTGGCACCATTATTAACAGAGGAGATATTATCTCTGTTAATAATGGTGCCAATTTATTTAAAATTGTTTAATATGGTCCTTAATACTGGTATTTTACCAGAAGCATGGCAAATAGGCACTATTCCAGTTAATAAGAAATAAGGACATTTTTAATTATCTAAGGAACTACCGACTAATCCCTTTACATAATTACCTGGGCATATTATTCACTTCAATATTATATAAAAGATTAACCAATAATTTTCTTTGATAATTTTCTGTTATGAGAAAATTTAAACAGGTTTCAGTGCCAACTATTCAACCATTGATTATTTATTTACTTTAACTACCCTGATAGGTCTCTCACTTGCATAAAAAAGAAATGATATATTGTGCTTGTAAAGATTTCAAAGCCATTTTCGATAAAATATGGAGAACAGGGCTATGGTGGAAACTAATGAATCAAAATGTAAATAGGAATGACCTATGTATGACCATCATTGTACATATATATAATGATTTTAAAAATCTAGAATATTACTAGATGGTGAATTATCAGAATACTTCCCAAGCAAAATTAGAGTACAATAGGGTAAAAACAGGTGCGCTTCTATATTCCAAGGGTCCCCTATTCCAAGGGTCCACTATTCCAAAGGCCCCTTACTCTGAAGGTCTGCTATTACAAAGGTACCGATATTGTGCAAACATCACAAAGATAGAAAATTCTTGCAGCAGAGACAGCAAATTGGCACAGGAGAGATTATGAGTACACATATAGAGCTTACCAAATGTATTTTGCATTTTATAAATGTATATAAAAATACAAAATAAATATATTGCTGTATATATTAAAATTATTAAATAAAATATTAGTTAAATAACATCTAGTTAAATAACAATGCTCCAAATAAATACGAAAGCGAGTTAATGGAGCATGAAATCCATACACAAAACACACCAATGTGAGCATACCTGGTGTTAAAAAAAAAAAATAAAGGATTGATGGTTAAATGAGCTTCTTTGACAAGGAACTCAAGGAGCTCAACTATTACAATTGGTTTAAGAGTAGTTATCACGTTTAATAACATTTTTCAGAATAGCAGACCTTCGGAAGAGCAGACCTTTATAATACTGATCGATTTCAGATCAAATCTTTTTGATCGATTTCAGATCAAATCTTTTTAAGGTTTGGGCAGAACCTTGGAATAGCAAACTCCCATGAAAACATATCTCCTATTCTGTTTTTAGTATTTTAAATGACCTTGAAGAATTTCTAATGAAAAAGATCTTACGTGCTGATCATAAGTATCGGGTGACGTACTGAGTCTGAGCTATTTTTGAAAATAATGATTTTACTGTATGGAATATGATACTGCTCTCCTTGAAGACTCAAAAGAAAATTTGCAGTATCAACTTAAAGGGATAATAACTCTCCGTATGAGATCTATATTTCACAATAAAAACATTGTGAACAACTCACAGAAATATAATATATTCTGTTGTACCACAAAAACGGCAGTTATAGCTATTATTCTGATAATTGAGCTTGTCTTTAGACCACGTGACCTCCATTGATGGCTTTACTCTTTTAGAAAAAAAAAACAGGGACTAATTCTGAACATAAAAATGGATTCATTAACCATTCCTAAGTATGGGAAAATTGCTGTTTACTCCAGGAAAATTCATTTTTTGGCCAAAACAGTTATTATCCCTTTGACCTATTGCCAGATGTGGAAGAAGTAAATGCTGAAAAAAAAAGGAGAATAATGGTGGTTTCTGAGGGTCATTCTAAAAGAAGGATTTTAAAATTTACTTTAATACAACACAGATTGTCTTAATAGCTTTATTGCTTCTTTACGTAGGTTGAAGGTATTACAAACAATTAGGAGACTATTGCAGATGTCACAAGTAATGGATTTCTTGATCTCTTTGCTTTCTATCAAAAACAAATAGGGCTCACTATTTACCACATACTATTATGAACATAACTGCTGTTTCCACATGGTTGTTACAGAATTACCGCTGTTTTCCCCTCCTTTACTTTTTCCCCACAACCCACTGATAAATGTCATATATAACACTCCTGATAATGATATGTTATCTGTTTCCTGACATGCTTACATGTACAATTTTACCCACTTGCTGCTGATGAAAAAACACTTTTTCGTTGACTGAAATGCAAAATGGGGAAAAATAAGTATGTAAAGAAAAAAAAAAAAAAAAAATATATATATATATATATATATATATATATAGAGAGAGAGAGAGAGAGAGAGAGAGAGAGAGAGAGAGCAACCCTGTGTCTCTTGGAAATTTGTAAGCAATTTAATCTACGCTTTGAGACCATTCCCACAGATATTTAGATCGATCTATCTATCTGGGGAATCTCACTAGATTGCTGTCAGCAACCGACTGTGTCTGTCCCACCTACTAAAAGCTGTGAGGGGTAATTAACTTTTGTGCGCGCTAAGCTCCTGGAAGCTGACAGCAATTTAGAGTGAATCCCCAAGGAGTTAGGTCAATCCAGATGGATCGATCTAAATCTGTGGGAACCCAGTCTTAGGCAGTGGACAATGTTTCCACTCTGCAGTAGCTCTAGCATCTATGTGCTAAACACTTGTTACATAGCCTGTCTTTGCTTATCTGTCTGCTGAAACAAGTCTCTTGGTTAGGAACATGCTCAGCTGTCACCTTGATTGGAACTCGACTGCCAATTTTTTCATTCTCCCTCGAAAAATGCTAATATGAACTTTTAGCAGGTGTAATAATTTTCAAGCCACTTCTAGCTCTACGTCACTTGCAAATCCTGTACATATTGGAAAAGTAATCATGTACATGCTTGTATTTTATCACTTATATAACAATGATATGACTAGAGAAAAAAGGCACTACCCACACTCCCAATGCCTATGTGTGTGTAGTTTCAAACTGGACTGGTTACTTGAAAGAGAATGAAATTTACCAACTAAAAAGGGACTAAACACTGTATGTACATTATCATTTTTAACTGTAAAGTCTAATACTGGCATGGAAATAATAACACCTGCAAAAAAATTAAACCAGTTGATCGAGCATGTTGGAGGAAATTATTTCTGAACAAAATCACACTGAAAATGGTGGTCAACTCCCATGGACTTTTGAGCATGCCCATGTGAAACTTTTGAAGTGTTTTTTTTTATTATTATTTAATGCATATGTTGGGCTGAGAGTTACAAACAAATAGCTGGATGATGTATCATGGGCTATTAAGGTGAGGCAGTTTGTTTGAGGGCAATCTGATCGCTATTTCTGTTATGACCAGTTTAACATAACTCAATTGAACTCGCCATGTGCTTCTTCCATATACTTTCATTTATTACCACGTCATTCACCAGGTGGTGGCCATGGTCAAGACGCGACCAATCGGCAGCCACATGCATTGGATACAACATTCCTCCCAGCCTTTATTTTTATTTTTTTTTTTTAACATGTAAACTTAAATGAAAAACAGTCTGTGTCAATTAATCTTTAAATGATCTGGATCTGATGAATTTCTCAGTTTTTCATTTTGTGTAAAGTCAACACAGTCACACATCTTAGGTGCTGTATGCTCTGATATCTATTCTTAAAAACAAATGTCAATTAAAGTCAATTACATGGTAGCTAAATCTAAAAAGTTTTCCTCAGGACAGCGATCCGCCTTCATCCTGATTACACATGTACTAGTAAATTATTTTAGATCTTTTTTTCTTTTCTCTCAGGACAGCGATCCGCCTTCGTCCTGATTACACATGTATTAATGATCTGTCACTTCAATATATAATCTTTTAAGTAATCTGGTTTTCTGATTGTTCTCTTTGGTCTAGTGCTAATTGGTTCATCAATATGATCCCTGTTCTTCTGTTGCTGTGGTATTTTCTCCTCATTTGAATTTTCATTATGTATCAAATTATCACCTAAGTTTGGAATATCCTGTGTATCCATTGCTGCAAAGTCACTTTTCACTGTATTATCACTCAGTTGCAATTCACATGCATCATCTTGTATTCTCATCTCATTTGTGCTTTCTTTCAAGTATGAGTCTGCTGGAATTGTCATTACGTCATCTGCTGTGTTTATAACACTGTTACATAATTTGAATTGACTTGCATCTCTGCAGATTGTTCTTCCATCTGTGACTCTTCTGGCTGTGACTTGAGAACCATGTATTTCCATGACAATGTAAAATATCGGTTCATATGGCGTTGTGAGTTTGTTTCTTTTGTTCTGCTTAACTAGAACATAATCACCAGTAATAAGTGCATTTCTCTTAGTGTTCGCATTCTCTCTCATCCTGGATTTATGTTTGTATTTATCGTCTGTTTTGTCAATAATTTCATCTCTCTCATTTCTGGTCTTGTTTGGTTCTTTAAAATCTAATCTTGTTCTAACTGGTTTGTTCCACATTGCTTCATAGGGTGTTACTCCTGTAGCTTGATGCGGTGTAGATCTGTATGCAATCAGCATTTCTTGAATTCTGATTCTACTCTCTACTGCATTTTTCCCTTGTAAGTTGGAAATCTGTTCTGTTTTATTTATCATCTTCATAAATGCTTCCGCTTCTCCATTGGCTCTTGGATGTAAAGGTGTTACTCTGTGGTGTGTGAAACCTTGTTCTTTGGCAAACTCTGCAAACTCTGTGCTGTTAAATGGTGGTCCATTATCTGTTGTTAAGATCACTGGAGTTCCATATGTCGCAAATATGTGAGTAAGAGGTTCCTTTATGTCACTGAATGATGTTGATTTCACAGTCTCTACTACTGGATATCTTGATCGTTTGTCAACTAGTACCAAGTTATAATGGCCATCGGGGTAGGGTCCCCCATAATCCATAGCCACGTTGTGCCATGGTTCTGTAGGGATTTTCGTTGGTTTGATTGGTTCTTCTTTATTTTCTTTTGTTGCAACTTTACATTCATAGCATTGATCACATATATCTTCTATCATTCTGTCCATCCCTTGGAACCAGTACTTACTTCCCAACATTCTCTTGGTCTTTGTTTTCCCTAAATGTCCAAGCTTGTGACCAAGTTTGATAACTTTTCCCTGAAGTTTCTCTGGAACTAAAATCCTGTCATTTCTGTAAATGAGTCCTTCAATAACACTAAATTCGTCTCTCATATGCCAAAATGGTTGAATGTCCTCATCTTTTCTGTACAGATTCCAATCTCCTTTTGATATTCTCCCTTCCAGTTTGATAAGAATTGGGTCAGTGAGAGTTTTTTCTGCTATCTCATCAAGAATCACTGCATTTTCAGATTTGACCATCCATTTGATCATCTTCTCTGTACTATCACTACCCGTCTGTGGCAGTGGATGGCGGGACAGATAATCGAGTGGGTCTGCTTCATTCTTCCCTGGCTCGTATACCACTTCATAATCAACATCTTGTAAGTCCATTACCCATTTCTCTATTCTCGGCGGCAATTTTGCTTGCACTTTGTTGAACATGGGCACTAGTGGTTTGTGTGCAGTGATGATCTTGAACTTTGGTGCACCCTGTAGATATATTCTCATCCTATTCTTTGCCCATCTTATGGCCAATGCGTCCTTTTCAGTTTGCGAATACTTCTTTTCTGTATCTGTTAATGCTCTGCTTATGAACTGAATGGGTTGAAGTCCTTTGTCTGTTTCTTGAAACAGTCCTGCTGACAACCCTTCATTGAAACTGGCTTCTGTTCTCAGAATTGTTGGTTTGCCTGGTTCGTAGAAGGCCATTGTTTTGCTACTGCCGATAGCTTGTTTTAATTTCTCAAAGGCTTCTTTTTCCTCATCTTGCCAACGGAATTTCACATCTTCCTTCGTCAGTTCTCTTAAAGGAGCAGTCAGAGACGCATAATCCTCTATAAAGCTGGCTAGGTAGCCGCACATTCCAAGGAAACTGCGAACTTCTGCTTTATTTTCTGGTGGGCTGCATTCTTTTACTGCTCTCACCTTGCTGGGATCCGCTTTCAGTCCCTTGCCTGTAAACACATGTCCAAAGAACGATATTTCTTCCTGGGCAAATTCACACTTCTCTAAGTTGAATGTAATGCCGAACTCTCTTGCTCTGTTTAATACTGTTTTAAGTGTGTCATTGTGTTCTTTCGTATCTCTCCCTCCGATTAAAATATCGTCTCTTTGGTTCAAACAGTTAGGTATGTCACCAAAAATTCTTAACATGGTCTCATCAAACACGTCTTGTGAGCTTTTTGCTCCAAATATCAATCGCTTTGGACGGTAGTTCCCCCAAGGTGTGCTGAATGTGGCTAGCTTCCTGGATTCCTCATCAATACTCAACTGATGGTACCCGGATCTCAAATCAAGTTTGCTGTATATACTGCAGTCACGTAAATGGTAAGTGAAGTCTTCAATTATCGGTGCTTGTACACAGCGACTTCTTTTCATGCCTTGATTGGGTATCCTCNTTCCTGCCACGTGGATGTATTGAATCGGCGGTTCTCCCTGTGCCATGTTAGTATTTCTATTTCTATCCCGTCCTCGTCGCCAATGTTATGACCGGTTTAACATAACTCAATTGAACTCGCCATGTGCTTCTTCCATATACTTTCATTTATTACCACGTCATTCACCAGGTGGTGGCCATGGTCAAGACGCGACCAATCGGCAGCCACATGCATTGGATACAACAATTTCTATTTAATTTCTATTTTTATTGTGGGTTGACGCATTTTGTTTAAGGAACGCTTGCCATATACATATGGCGGTTTTTATTAAAAACTTCTAAAAAATACTTACCCAGTGTAGGTCCTTTCTCTTCCTTTTTTATCATGGTAGACTGGTGTGGTGTTTTAAAGTCATTGTCTGTGGTTTTCTAGTTTCATTGACTGATCAAGGTGACAGCTATATCGAGTACAGCAAATCAAATATATGCTGCATCGACCAACAGTGCAACAAAGAGCGTCATGGGAAAAGAATTCCTGCGAGGCTATAAATTGTTGTCATGTGGAATTTTTGCATGAATGTAATCTGATATGCCCATGTCTTATTATTTTTGGGTGTTTTATGGTATGTGCTGCAATTATAAGGATGTTTCAGAACAAATATAATTCAAAACAAATTGATTGCAAATTAAGCACGATTTTGCACCTAAAAGTATCGTAGCACATTTTCATATAATGTACCTAATATTTCTACAAGTATTTTCTGCCCAAAATACCAAAAGAAAAATGTTATCTATGTTGTTAGAAAAACTGCTTTTTTCTCTGAGCCCACATCTTCATTCCTGTTCACCTCCAGCTAAAAATGACCACTCAGCTTCACATCTTACACCACTTGACGTCACATGACATCACACTTCTGGCACAATCCTGTCTCCTCAGGCACAATCCTGTCTCCTCCAGTACCCTCTATTACCAACCCTACACGTAATTATCCTTGAGTTTTCACCACAGGGTCACAGTTTAAAAATTTGCCATGAATTACTCAATCTGTGGCCCTGGTAGAGGGTAGCATGATACCTTTTGCACAACCAACTAGATGATTTAAACCTTGAAACAAAGGGTCATTTGGATTCACACATTGTACGATCTGGGTCAGTCCAACTTTATCAGCACACGATAGTTAATTACCCCTAGCTGCTTGAGGAAGCATGTCAGACAAGCTGATTCTACTGATTGAACTTTAGCAAGAATCCCCTGCAGAGTTCGACTGACCCAGCTAGTATGGGATGTGTGAAACTGAATGCTGTCTTTGAAGGCATGCATGCATGGATGTACACATATTAACATGCTACTCATGGCTAATGTGCCACATTGAGTCCCATTCAGTTGTATAATTAAATTTTGTTTCGTTAAACATACAGTTAAGAGCATCAGTACCAATAAAAACATCTTTAATAATTGGTACAGATATCTTACATCATAAATGATTTCTTTGTGCCATATAATGTGGCTGTTATGTTAGATTGTAGTGCTGATAATCACCTTACCAACTTGGCTGTGGCAGTTTTTAGATGTGATGCCTGGTGGGTTTGTAACCATGGTCATGCATCCGTGGCAGCAATGATTAGATTATATGTTTCTTTGTGGTCAGACATTAGCCTTAGTGACTTTGCTTTTGTTCAAGCACATTGATCAACTATGGTTTCATGAAGGGTAAGCATCAGGGTATACAAAATATATATGAGGTTGTTTTTAACAAAATTATCATACTTTTTGGATTAACAATTTCACATTTTAAGACTTCTGTTTGGTTACTTAGTAACTGCATGTAATGTACATGCCAGTTTTTCAAGATTGGCTCTGTGGTCTCATGGACTTAGGTCTAGACCTAAGATTTTTAATGTGGCCTACCCAGTATGTAGTTTATATGATTTTTGTAAAAACTGCCATATATTATATCTTACTTAGTTGATAATTTATAATTGTATTTTATTTATTTATTATTTATTTTTATTTATGTTTTGCAGTTCTGAGTAGAAATATATAAGATAACTAATATTTAAATTATTGCATTTTGAGGCTTGACATTGTTATATAGTCATGCAGCTGATGTTTATTATCAAAGGAAATACAGTGTAAGCTAGAATTAAGACTGGCATACAGGTACATGTAGCTACAGTTTTAAAACATGCTTTCCCTGTGATAGTTTACATCTTGTCTATTATACTCATATATAATGATCAGGAAAAATATTTATTCCTTATATCCGCTTAATCATAAGTACAATAATACTAATTATATCATCCAGAGACGTAGAGATAATACATGTTGTATTAGCATGATTAGAGCTGGGAATTAGCCAGTGTAAAATTTCAGTTCGTGAGGTATATGACAAGATCTTGAAGACAATTTGTTAGCATGTCTCTAAATGCAGATGGTAAACACATACAGTAGAACACAGTTGTGTTAAGGCATTCATGTACTTCCTAATATGTACATGTCTTACAGTCTTACATTGACTGGCAATAGGGCAGGTGTCATAGTGCAGTCAGAACCATCAGAACACAAGGTACAGTAACTCTCATTAGGTGAAGTACGTACTAGTAAGTATCATTGCTTATTACTTGCAAAAAAAATTGCAGATCTATTGGTTTGCTCATGTGTGCATTTGTTTATAAGCTTGTTTGTGGTCATTTTTTTTATTCTGTGATAGATGTCACAATTTTAAGAGATTTTTGCTTAAAATTTTTTTGTAGATTATTTATAGATCTCAGATGAATTGATTTGATTTTCATAAGGATCGTGTTTCCTGATTATATGTAAAAATCCTGATTTACTATCTATAAATTTACTGCCCACTGATTTAGTATCTATATATAAATTTACTTTTCTAGTTTAACTTAGCAAATAGGATTTATTCTGTGTGACAAAAGGCACTCCATTGTGAATCGCAGCAACTGCCATGTGTGCATTACCAAATAATGTAGGCCTTTTCCATGTGTGGAAATGGTCATATGATCAACAGTGGAAACTCAACTGGCACTCATTTTGAAATATGTTTGTCAAATGTTTATAATATCTAGAGCTTTTGTTGTCTGAATACTTGTTTAAAGAAAAAGCTAAGAAATACAGATCAAACGCTGCTCAGTAGGAAGCAAGCTGGTGGACAGTATTAAAGGGTGCTTTCCCAGAGATTTAGATCGATCTAGAGATTAAGATTTAGATCGACCTAACTCCCTGGGGGTTCACGCTAAATTGCAGTCAGCCGAGCGGGCACCATAGTTAATTACCCCCTTACAGCTTTTAGTAGGCGGGACAGACGCTTAAGCCGGCCAAGCTGACAGTAATCTAGTGACTCCCCACAGGGATAGATCGATCTAAAAATCTATGGAAATGGGGTGAAAGTGAAAGCCTGACTTGAAAACTGAATTTCTATTTGAGCTGGCTCACCTAATTTTATTTTACTTTTATGATCCATGTATGAAGTAAAAAAAGCAATAACTTGTGTGACAGAAAAAATGCTTTGCTTATCATGCACACTTAGTCTTATCAAATGAAGTTTGCATTTGGAAAACCAGGAAAATTAATGAGAAGTGTCCAACATGAGTGACCATCCAAAATGGGTCGGGTGACATTATAAGAGCAACCGTTTAAAAACTCTTCACTAAGTGTGTGTGTAAACTGTATCACTTCTTTATAAGATAGTAATCGAAGTAATGCTGACAACCAGCACCAGATCCACAAAATGAAATGCATACAGTAATAAAGAATTCTTTGGACAAGTTTGAAAAATAAACAAACCCAACTTTAATTAAGGGTTTGATTTTTTAAAAATTTGTATATTACGTTTTGAGAATTCAGTCAGGAGAGATAATAATCAATGTAGTGCTGACAACCAGCACCAGATCTACTGAATGAAATACATACATTGATAAAATATCCTTAGGACAAATTTGAGATATAGGAAACTTGACTTTTAAAGAGAGGAGAAGGGTTCTAAAAAAGTGAACATTATATCTTAATTGAGCATTTAGCCAGGGGGTGTTCGGCTGAACCCCTCTAAATCAGCCACTTACATTTTGCTATGTAGAACCATTGTAAGTACCGCCAAGGAGTTATGTTATAACTCCTTGGTACTGCCCATGATAATTGTGGTTGACCCATTTGAACTTGATTACATAGAATAATGCAAATCCTGTACTTAAGTGAAAAAAAAATGGATGGTTTGTGCCAAACAGTATTTTTTGTACTGAAACTGGTTGTGTATGGCAATTTTTTAAAAATGCTTAGGAATCAATATTATATTCAACAGCTTTGTTCACTGAAATACTTGTGCAGCAATGTTCACTAAAATACTTGTGTAGATTATGAGTAACTTTATTCAAGAAAATATCAATTTTTTTCCATGGATGTTTCTTATGCAGTCTGAAATGGCAACAGAACCTTTATTTTTCAAAGAGACTTGTATCACTTTCTCTTGACAATCTGCTGCCTTTGCATGCCCACATTTCATTATGTTCTGCCATTTTTCTGTTATATAAAGACCATGTAGCTTGAAATATGTGCATTTGCATTATCATCCTTGTCAAGATGATTACATTCAGATACCCATTAAGAGACACATTATCTCTTTGAGTTGTAATCTAATGAAAAGGTAAAAGCCCTGTGGAGCCAATGGCAATATAACAGTCTTGGAAAATTGCAAGTGTTAGGAGTCATGGGCTTTTTCAGCAATCCCTGCTTTTTGTTTTGTGCCAAATTAAACTGAATTAAAAATTTCCAGATCATCTGATGGAAAGACAAGCAGTCGTTGGCCACTAGGATGAGGTAATATAAACACCATTCTTATGTAAATAAAACATCCAGTATTGTCACTGGTTAAAAGGCATTTTTAAGGATATAGGATTTGGGAAATTTTTTGTTCTTTTTTGTCTTTCTTGTTATCTGATGTACATGTAAGACTATACTACATGCAGGTCTTGTTGATGACAAAAAGTAATTAAGTTTTGTAAGGATTAAGGATTACGCACAAGGAAAAACCTTTCTATGCTGTCTAATATTGGTATTGCAGAAGATTTAAACAAACTACAGGGTATATAAGCTAAATATTCTATGACTTTATTAGCAACATAAATTATATCACTGCAGTCTTCATGTGCACCCTAGCTGTAGGCTTTGGTACTAGTATGTTCAGAAGGCAATTGAAAAAATCCATTTGAAAAGTCAGAATATCATAAAATTTACATAAATTACAGTAGAGATAGGATGGCTTTGTCAGATGCTAGTAGAAGCCTCGGAAACAAGGCAGATTGAGCCATTTAAGTTGGTAAGTTGCTTCACATCTCAAAGAGCAGATATGCTTTCACTCATCAAGCAAGAAACATCTGTGTCCCTTTCGCTCTTTGAAGCTGTCACCACAAGTAATTGGATCCCTAGAAAGTGTAGATTAGAACATTTATTAACACTTGGAAAACATTTGTTTACATTTCTTGCAGGCAGTTGAGAGACTGAGGGCATCAGGTGTTGTGTAAACCATAATATATATATATCCATGGATTCCTCTGGACCCAGCTACAACTATTCTGATGAAATACCACTGCAGTATAAAGGCTACAGGTAAGAAGGAATTTGAATTTGAACTATGTTTTTTTTTGTGTTTTAGAACGAATTTGTAATTTATTACGCTGTTATTTGTTAAGGCAAATAAAATAAAAATGTGTTACTGAACCTAACTGGCAGCAGTATATTGTAGCACCTAGCCCTTCAGTCCAGATATTTTAACCATTAACATCTTTTGCACACCAGCAATAAATACTGGACTGATTATTAAGCCATATTGCTACATAGAAGTGTTTATAGGCAGCTGTTATTGTTTGAGACTACATGTAGTGCCCCTTGTGTAATGCCACATATCATGCAAAACATGCACCTGAGATGGTGCATGCACCAGATGCCCCTACATTCATGCAAGCAATTATGTTTATATGTCTATGCATTACTTGTATATCATGAAGAATAGGATATTTGTAATCTTTTAAGATTCTTTAAAAAGAATGAACAGTTTAGTGGAGTGATACTGGGAAATAAGTACTTAATGCTACGGTTCTTCCAAATTCATATCATTGCAGCTTTATTGATTGGTACAACTGTAGCATTTTATCCACTAGGCAAGAAAATGCCTAAAATGATTTGCTGAATTGCTATCACAAGCCTCAAATAATCTCTGTGTTTACTCAAGAGATTGAATAGCTAATGGATTTATATTTTAAATATTATTTTTAGACATTTATTCATTATTTATAGGTATCATTTTCCATCAGAAAGAAGCTTGAATAAATAAGTTGAAAACTTAACAGTAGGTTGGTTGAATGACCAGTTTTATCTTGTTTTCCTATGGAATTTTTATTTTTCTGTAATCAGTGAGAATGTTTCTACCAATTAAAATACATTTTTACAATACAAGCAGCACAGCATACTACTGTACATTAGGTAAATGATTGACATAAATCAGGCCCGTAGCCAGGGGGGGTTCGGGGGGTTCGAAAGAACCGCCCCTTTTGCTGGGAAAAGGTCCACTCTGGGTAAAATTTGATATAGGTACATGAAGTTTTATGGGAAAAGGTCCACTTTTTCTGAAAAAGAACCCCCCTTTTGAAATTGCTGGCTACGGGCCTGTAAATAAGTGTCAAAGTTAAGGATTTTAGTTCACAGTTTTTTTTTTTCAGAAGAACAGAAGTGCTGCAAAAATTCCTCATTATAACAATGAATACAAAGATATGAATATAATTAGTTGTCTCTAAGCCTAAATTGGGAAATGGAAGTGTATCTCGTCTCTTACATGTTTGGTTTGTATCATATGTTACATGAAAGCATCTTTTATGCATTATATTACTGGTATCTCTAATGTATCACATGATATGTGTACTCCAATGAAATGTATATTTGTTTGTAAGTGACAGTATGCAATGACAGGTCACATGTCCTTACCAATCCTCAAATCATTGGCACTTGCTTTTAGCCAAGGGTTATTTGAGTTTGGTTATCAATGAAAAGGTAACTTAAATCAAAGCAGAAGTTCGGTTGAATGACACATCTTGCTGAACAAGTGAATTATGAAAAAAAAAAGAAAGAAAATCTTTTTATATTCATGGTATGGCTGAAAATCTGGGAAATTATGTTTCATAAGACAATCCTGAGAACTGTACCTAAAAGCATTATATATGCCTGTGTCTTTTTATTTTGAAATGTGTGCTTGTTACATTTAAAATAGAAAGATGATGTAAGAAATTTATGTACATAAGTGAAAGAGCAATTTTGCATAATTTAACATATTTTCTTCCAAGTGACTTTTGCATTGAAATAAAAAAAATAGTAAGATTTTATAAATGACATAGATGACAAATGTGCCTTATGATATTTACCATTTTAATGATGATAAAATATGTGCAAGCTGGTGCTCTTTATTCTTTTATGTGAAAAGTTAGGCATAGCAGTTGAAAACATTTTACCATTGTGTCTCAGTGCAGAAAACATTTCCAGATAATATATGTTACATCAAAATGCTCTGTGAATCAGTTTCTCTGGTTTGCATGGTAGTAGCAGTTGCTCTTTTGTTGTTTTTGTACTTTGTCTCAATTAACACACTGAGCAAGCTTCTCTTGCCACAATCTGTATCAGTCATGCCATGTTAGAACACCTGTATCTTGCATGTTTACCCATCATTTTATCAATATCTCGTTGATCTTGTATGAAAAGCATATTTGTTATGTGTATGTTAGATTCATGGTGGTATGTGGGGAGCCCAGCCTCACTGCTGATGAAAAACAAAATGGCAAATCATGGCCATCTACCCCTAAAGAGGGAGAAAAGAAAGACCCACGCTGGGTCCAGGAAACAATGCTTCTCATATTCAAACTGAAACTATTAACAATGTTTTTCTAACAAAAAAGGATCTTTTGAGCAAGTCACACTATAAAGACAAGTATTTTTTGTCATATTTTACCAATACCAGATGTTTTTTGTTTGTCTTTTCACAGATGCAAGCATGCATAAAGATACCTGACTTGACATCTAATTGATGACACTGATGATCAATCTTTGTTCTTCAATAATTATATCATGGTAAATACTGACAGACTGAAATGAGATAAATAATGAGGATAAGTATAGAATAACAGCATTATAGAATGCAATGGGATTATTAATGTGGATAAGTAGAGAGTAACAGCATCATAGAATGAATACATTGATTTGATTTGGAGAAAAATGACAAATTTGGTAAAATATTGAATTGAATGTAAACAAGTATCAGTCCCAGTACATTTCCATTCATTAAGATTTTTTCTTTTCATTTATAGAACTATTAGTAAGGGAATTTCATTATTTTAGTGTCACAGAGCAAGAGTTTTTAATTAAGATATTGAACTACATTTGATTGGAAAGTGAGGTTAGTACATGTAGCATGCAGTTGACATAATCTTATATTTTATTGTAACCTACTTTCCTTCAGTCTTGCAGACCTAATCCCCACAGCAATTGTGATTGATTTTCTGTAACACATTGCACTGGACTTTAATGGTTTTGTTTGGTTGCATATCACAAGAATTGAATTTCTATTCAAATACTTGTTGAACTTTCAGTAATCCCTTGGCGCATTCATTCAGACTGCCGCAGAAAAAGGGGTCATAAAATGAAAAATCTGAAGGAAACTCACCATCCAGATTCTGGAACTTTAGAACAGCATGACAGTGACCTTTATGTAATGCTCTTGTGTGTATCATATTCTCCTTAGTTTGTTAATTTTTAGGAGAGACAGAAACAAGGTCTTGTAAGCAGTCTGTAATGTGGCATCACTGTTTTTTAAGCAGTTTAATGTGTGCATGATCATTTCAGAAGCAAGAGAAGCTTCATAACTGTAATTTGAACCTTTAATTACCATAACAAATGGTCTTTTATTGCAAACAATCTGTGCAAACTGTTTCCCAGGACTTTTAATCCGCTCCTTGTGTAGTATTGTAGCAGTTTTTCCTCTGCTTCTGAGTGGGATGATCACATGATGGCAGCAAGGTGCAACTGTTGGTAGGGGAAGAAGACCTACCCATATAATACTATTGATGAAGACAAATATGATGGATTACAACAGTCTTACATTGCTTATTGTGTTTTGGTTTTTCCCTGGATTCTGAACAGATAGCATATCTCTCTACTTTGGTGGAACTGAACCTGAAGGCAAAAGAGAACGAGGCATGATATTTCCATTATACATTCAGCTTGGAGCTAAATACTTACATGTAGTAATAGCCAGGAGAGTTTAAGGCTACACACAAACCATAACATAGTAAGTTGAGCATACACTAAGGTCTTGTTGAAGATATTTTTAAAGATAAATGGAGAAGGAAGTGGTCAAATGCGTGGGCAGTTCAGAAGGTTCCGTTGTTGGTCCATGTCCAAAGGGTAGCCATGGTGACAGAGCTGATCAATCACATGTTGAAGGGATGCAGCAAGTGAAAACAGTGCAGCCTTTGCCTCCTAGACCCCTGAAGAAAAGGAATACTGACAGCTGTTTGATAGGCCCAAGGGGAGCTACTCTCTTTCGGTAGGGTACATGTTTGTTATGGAAATAAGGTTCTCTAGTAGTAGATAGCAGCTGGGGCTTAATATTGATCGAGGTCTAATGGTTTTTATATAGTTACGGATTTCCATTGTTTCAGCAGTGTAAGAGGGATGATCCTTTTAATTCAGCAACTTTATTTAACAAAACCAATATTGAGTTGTTCAGTCTGTTCAATCAATGAACATTATATCTATACTTCAGAAAATTTTCCATATCTTTAATCTGTATTGAATTATTCAGGCCTACCCAACTACCAGACTCGGCACATAAGGATCCTGAATTAACTGGTATATTAGACCACACTACCCGTTTTCAAGGTGTGTGTCAGATCACATTTCTGAGTATCACACCCCAGAACAAATTTTGTAGGACGACCGCGGGCTCATCCACGCTCGGCTGTCACCTTGATTGGATAGTAAACAATTGTCGTAAAATCGCTATATGATTTTAAATGCGGGTGCATAAATTTAAAAAACCACCTAGAACAACCTTACACTGTAGGCCTACTCTTACTTTAGAGTACTCTGTTTTATTGTCTCTATGGGGATATATGGGGACTTAACGACATTCGGTTTGAATGCTTTAACCACTTTTGATAGGGCTTTTTGCATTGTATTAGATTAATGTGGCAGTCTAAGGTTGTTCTCAAATTTATGCACCCGGTTTTAAAATCATATATTACTATCCAATCAAGGTGACAGCCGAGCATGGGCTCATCCTGTCGGTGTTCTGACTGATACTCCGAAATGTGATCTGACACACACCTTGAAAATGGGTAGTGTGGTCCGATATACCGGTTAATTCAGGATCCTCATGTGCCGAGTCTGGTAGTTGTGTAGGCCTAGCCTGTTATTGCCCAGTTTAAAGTTGGCCTGATTCATAGTTGGACAGCTAATGGACATTTATATAGCTTTGATTAGAATATCATACTAATGTTAACATATTTTTTATAAAATGCCATTTACTATTCAAGAACAAAAGTATCTTTAAATTTTGGTTCCCA